CTGTATCAAATGTAACTGTAACAAATGTAACTGTAACAGATGTAACTGTAACAGATGTAACTGTATCAAATGTAACTGTAACAGATGTAACTGTAACAGATGTAACTGTATTCTGACTGCAGATATTTTTCAGGTTTCTCAGGCTGAGAGATGTGAGGGCTAGACCCCGATCTCAATGAGATTTCTTCTTCTCTGATTTAATAACGACAGTTCAAGACTTTAAAGAGCAGGAAAAGGTCATTTCAAATCTCGGGGTCATTTAAAAACGCCGTCATCGCACGACCAGCTCAGACCGTGTGGTTTACAATAGTCTCGGCTGTGTTAGCAGCAGAGAGTGCATCACAGGTGAGGCAGTCTTATCGGCTGCGTGTGTTTGTGAAGAATTGATTTATAGTCCCAATTTTTTTGACTTCCTAAAAGCTGATATTGGTACGAGTCCTCATCGCTCATCAGTGCAGCTCCAAACCAAAACAGTCATGTTTAAAGGCAGGAAGTGAAATAAGGGACTGAAGCTACAGGTCATAACATGTTCAGGAATACACTTTTATGTTGAATGACATTTCAGAGCTTCAGCAGACTGTGTACGAATCTGAATGCTAGCTTGTTTCTGTTAATGGGATGCGGTGATGGAGATGAAGGAGGGGGTCGACTGTGGTCTTTCTGCTGGAGAAACGGGAGCCGAGGCAAAAGCAAAGCAGGGTTTTGGGGTTCATTTATCCACCTCTCATTAAGCAGCTATGACAAAGACCAGGCTCCGACAAAGGCAGAGGTCAGGCCTGGTTCAGTGACCAGCTCTTGGCCTGTCAGCCCATCACAGCCACTGGTCTGAAGCCTCCCTACTGTTTATCAGCCAGCAGAACATCTCAGCACGGAGAGGAGAGGGGGGTGGCCCGACTGACACCGAACACAGAGAAGCTGCTCGGTCAGGAGGAACTGGGCTGACTTCACACAGGATGGAGTGATGTCATTGGTGTTGATGGATGTTAAAGCACTGAAACCAAACTGCATCTGAGTCACTTAAAAGCAGTGTTTCTGCTTCGTCTCCGGTTCACAGGAACAACTTTTTCTCTTGTTCCTGCCACAAAATCACCAACCACCTGCCTGATCCTGTGTGTGAAAATAGCTTCAGATTAAACATGATTCAATTTGATTCTAGGAGCGAACGATAACAATAAAGAGCGATTGGACTACGGCACAATCTAATCTGCACAGAAGAGAAGATTAGGGGAATTCCACAAGGGGATGGGATTGGTCTTGGGGACATAAACCCCCTACACCATCTTGTCCTGTGATTTATCTCTCAATCTCAGTCCACACGGTGGAGTTAATGCAGCTTTACATGCCAACGGTGTTTAATGCACTGATTTCGAATCGGTGCGTGAGAGGTTTTCATGCAAAGGTGGAATAACCTCATTTAAAGTGATCAGACTTTTGACGATAGGCTGTTGAAATAATACGAGCTGTAATTATAACTGAATGTCACAGATTTGAAGCTGCTTCTGTTACTCATTTTGTATATTTTGTGTGTGTGAGAGTTGAAAATCAGATTTTGGTTTATTAGATTCTTACACCAGATTCTAAATCTCAGGTCAAAATAAAGGCCTGGGTGTTTGTGTGATGTCCTTTAAGTGGCTGTTTTTATCTAATTGTGTTTTCAAATGTTTGCTTCACTTGTTATTTATGTCATTTGATCTGTTTCCTGTTTTTTACCACAACTGCCGACAAAACAGTCACGTCACGAAGCTTGCCTGGTTTATTCTGGTTCCTAAGCGAGGTTTGGACTATAAAAGGCTCGAACTGTGTTTGTGGTCAGATAATATCCTGTTCAGCTATCTGGTAGTATAAAAACATATTATGTTTGCCCAGCAGCATCAATAACTTCAGTCTACCTATGTTCTGCATTACATCATTCAAATCCTTAAAGTTAGAAAAAGCAAAGATCACTTCAGTCCAGCAGTGCTGCTGCTGTATAATCAATATCTCTGACCATCTCTATGCTTTGAGGCTTTGATGATTCACCCTCAGTAACAAACTCTGCAGCAGCTGATCCATACTGCTCAAAGAGCTCACAAAATTTAATGAAACAAAATCATCTTAAAAGGTGGTGCTACTCTTACAAAAATCAGCTTTGCCAGGATGGAGAGCAACAGCCGGACTCACCGTGGTACTGCTGCTGCTCTGTGCCGCTGCTGCTTCTCAGAGAGGAAAGGTGCCCGCTGTAGGACGGGTGCGACGAGGGCTCCAGCTGCTTCCCGGTCTCCGCCAGGCTGTCTATGTTCACTTTGTGGGGTCCGGGGGCCGTGGCGGGACTTAGCAAGGGGTCCTGCTCTTTGCTGAAACCCAGGATGACATCGATGCTGTGGACGCGGCCTCCCACTGCAACGCCCCCACCTTTACCCAGTTCGTGGAAATTGCTGGGCGAGAGGCAGCTGTCGTCCACCATGCTCATGGTATCCAGCGATAAATGCATTCGAGCGTCTGGGCAATCACCTGGGCCTGTGGTCGAGAGAAGATGTTTGGGTGAGGCTACGCAGACGCAGATCACTAGGTCACCTAGGATGACTGTTATCCACCTAAACCTGATTATCTTCTTCGGAGGCCCAGAGGGTCAGGACCCCGTAGACTCTGAGTGTTCCAACAAACCACTAATAAGATTGTGACTATGGGTCAACTTCACACACAAAGAGGCTTTCTTATAAAACGTTTTACTGCTGGACTTAATTTTATGGAAACTCAGGCTAACATTTTCAAACGTAGTCACATTTTGGGTGAATCTTTGGACTAACGTGCACTTTTCCTGACAAATAAGTCATGAAGTTGTTGGATTTCCAGCAAATGATTCTGTGTTTGTTACATAAGACGTAAATAATTCGAGCCGAATGAGACCGTGGCAGTGCTTACCTCTTGGAAGTAAATATGCTGAAGTACTGAAGTTACTGATGCCAGTGCTCCACCTGTTCCTCTCAGCAGCTCTCCCTCCAACTTCACTCTTCCCAGATCCGCTATGTGCACCGCCTGCAGTCGCTCAGCTGGCGTTGATTGCCTAGCATTTCTCTAAATATGTTCGCTTTGTGTGACAAACAGCCCCAAATAGATGCACTCCAATGGTAAAGAGCATTTAGTAGCTGAGTTCAGACGCTATCCACTCCAGCTCAGAGAGGAGAGTGGGAGAGGAGTGAGCCGGAGAGAGAGAGGTGGACAAAGCTGAGGCGGCGTAGGAGGTGAAACGAGGGGATTAGGAGAGGGCTGTTAATTGCAATCCTTCCCCTTTAAGAGTGATTGGCGGCTGTTTTCTGCTTAAGAAACTGTTTTAAATGTCATTTTCATTTACCCCCGACGGAGAAGGCCCGGCTAACGAAGCCCGGACGAGACTTTCTTTCATAAATTTATTGTTTTAAAGACAAAAGAATCGCTCAAAGTTTTCACTAATCACTGCCGGGACCCCTTTGTGTGAAAATACCGCAAGAAAGGAAAAGGTGAAATTGTAATGCACACAATAGAACAACAACAAAAAGAAAACAATTTACCGCGAGGTTTATTTTGTGTAATAAAAATGTAAAATACAACATGTGTTGGTTCTCTGTCTGATTTGCAGGGAAGTTGTGCTACTACTAGTTTTATTAACTACAAACTAAAAAGCAAAGTGCAGCAACGTAACCACTGATGTACTCAAAATATATCATTTGAAACAGATCAGGCTTGATGCATGTAATTATTTACCATCTTAATTTCTGATTTTTCTACTTTATATGCACTGTTTTTATTCCGTTATTAGACATAAACTTTTATTATCGGCAGCCTGCGATATTTAAACCTTTAATTCTCCTTTTCTTGTTCTGTCATTTCAGTTTTGTTTTATTTGCATATAAAGCAAGTTTGCATGAACCACCCACTGAAAGAGATTAATGGAAGCCAGTCAGTTGTTTAAATGGATTAAAAAGAGAGCTAATGTTTTACAGTGTGGTTTAAATTAATGGTAACATTTGTATATTTATTTATTTTTGTTTGTCTGATAACATTTATTTAAAAAATAAATCGGACATTTCAAACGGTTACTCGCTACTTGAGTAGTCTTTTCGCCAAGTACTTTTTTACTCTTACTTGAGTAACTTTTTTGACGACTACTTTTCACTTTTACTCGAGTAATAATATTTTAAAGTAATGCTACTCTTACTTGAGTACAATTTTTGGATACTCGACCCACCTCTGGGTTTAATGGCTCCACAGTTAATCAAATCAGTCAAAATAAGACATCATCCATCAGCTCAAAGATAACTGTAACAAAGACAAGAACTGCCTTGGCTTTGGAAAACCCACTAAATATATTTCAAATATGCTTAAACAGTGGAATAGGTGACAGAAAATACCTGTGGTGACACAGAACATCTACACAATCTCTGATTAAAAATGCCACGTCCATTTAAGACCATAGATTCAAACTATTTCATAGAAGCAGAAAAAAAACGTAAAGGGACATTATCACCTGAGGGTTATTTCATTTGACTGAGTGGTGTTTCTCAAGAGACCACAGCGCAAAAGGCTGGGAGGGAGGGCACAGAGTTTGAAGGCCACAGACCTCAAAGTTGACCCTGGCTTAGCGTCACAGAAATTAGCACCGACTCTAAAGACGCTAAAGAGATTTCCTCTGACCTCAGACATATCTCAAAATAAAGACAGATACAGATAAACGCACAATTGAATCTAAAACTCGGACCTTCCTCAGATTCGTGTAGACACAGCTCTGACGAGAGATATCAAAATGCAAATTTGTTTTTTGAGAAGAAACTGTCCCGTGATCATTTCAAATTCCTCGTCACAGTCTTTTTGTTTTTATGTTACACTTCTGTGCTACAAAGGACTGTATTTTTTCTGCACATGCCCCGCAGTAAAATGTCTATTTGCATGTCAGTGGAGACAGCAAACGCTTCACCTGCAGATCACCCTGCTAAATTTGGAGCTTTCTCATCCGCCAGCTACGGCGGCAACGAGCAAGTCCTGTCCATGTGATCTTGTGTCACTTGAGCAGAGTTGGCAACCTACGCGCATTCTTCACTTAAGTACAAGTACAGACACTTGTGTTGGAAAAAAGGCTCTGGGAGAAGATGAAGCACTGATACAAATTCTTTATTAAAAGTTCAAATGTGCTCAAAGCATCAAAGTCTAAAGCTAACCGAGTGACTTCACACCTAAACAGACTGTAAACGATGCTGCCTAACATCTCCAACTCTTCTCCATCTGTCATGCATGATAAGCACTGGTGTTGGATGCACTGTGTTTTTATGTGAACTGGTACTTTTATAGCATCTTTTCATTCACCCACTCATACAATCACATTCACACACTCACTCAAATGCATCAGGGGAAACGTAGCGTTCAGCATTTTGCCCGAGGATGCAGATTGGAGGAGCCGGGAATCAAACCTTCCAATTATAATTAGACGACCTACTCCACCTCCTGAGCTACAGCTCCTATTTAGGATGTTAAACACTCAATAACTCCCCCTCAAATGATTTAAAACTAAAGTAACCAGCGAAAGAAAACGTAAGGAGTACAAAGTAAAGATATATGCCTTAAAATGAAGGAGCTAAGAGTAAAAATAAACACTCAAGTAAATCATGGGTACTGGAAACTCTACCTAACAGTTACAGTGTATTTACACTTCATTATTTCGCACCTCTGGACATCAGGGAAGTTAACGTGGGGGTGAAGACAGCAAGAAGTAAGAGACAAGTGAACTGATCAACATTTTTTACTCCCCCACTAGCAGGATACCAAAGAGGTGTAGATGCATTGTGGGTAATCTAGTTTTTGTCAAGGAAGAATGAGTAGAATTAAAAAATCTGTAATTTTGAAGCTGATTTTGATTGACAGTACCAGCTGTAAGTTTTCAACACCACTGACAGGGTAACCTCACCACTGCAGTGCACAGTGTGAAGTACTGCAGTAGTACTGCAGTAGTACTGCAGTAGTACTGCTGTAGTACTGCTGTAGTACTGCTGTAGCCAATGCATTAACAAAATGAATAGGTATGTTTTCAGCCCATAATTCACTCATGTTATCTAAACAAGGCCAAAGAGTGTAGCGTCCATGGCAGAGATTCAGTTTCGGTGTAATAACAGAATATTAGAGCCGCCTTTAAACAACACAAATAATCATATAGATTTAAACCCATAAATTAAGTGCTGACGCACAAAAAGGAAATGTATTTTCTCTGAACTATTCCTCTTAGTTCAGAGTCAAGACTGAATCTTACTGCCTACAAGCTTATAAAGCAATGATAGACTAAATGCTAACTTATCCTGAGATGACGTTAATACATTTTTGACCTTACGTAGTTTCTCTGTTATCCCGACTGAGCATAAATTGGTTAAGAAGGGGCAGTGTAGTTATCAAGCTGCTTAGTTTTATCAGATGACAGTGTAAGTCCCCGTGATCCTATTAGAAGTAAAAACAGCGAACTTGTAAATGAACAGTGTCAGCTTGTTAGGGGGGGTGGGTGGGAGTGGGGGCAGAGAGAGGAGGGGGAGTACAGGAGGTAAAAAGAGGGAAGGGACCAGAAAGGGAGTGGAAGTGGGACAAATGTGGAAGTATCACAAGGAGGGCAAAGTCATGTGTCCGTGAAGATGTCTACCTCTGACAGTAAACTAGCACACACACACACACACACACACACACACACACACACACACACACACACACACACACACACACACACACACACACACACACAGCGTCCTTTTGTGATTGGCTCTCGTTGGTTACAATTCCACTATCTGCAAGACTACTGAGTGTTTCCATGGTTACGTCAGCTCCATTGCTATTTGCAGTCAGTGTTTACATGGATACGTTCATTCACACACACGCACACACACACACACACGCACGCACACACACACGTGTATAAATACTGCTCACAAAAACATTTAAAAACTTTTCCTGGATCTTGAATGAAAGAACTTGAAAATCTTTATTGACACATGTTGACACTCACACGATTCAGAATCACACCAAAAATAGAAGTAAAAAATTTAGTGTTGACTTAATTTGTATTATATTTATTTACTTTTTAAATGTTTTTTGAAGAGTGTCTGTGTATCTATCAGGCTAGCTATGTAGCCAACCTTGCTTCACACAATCATTTTAAGATGGCAGCTGTTCGCTGGAAGAAATAGTTACTGTAACTCCTGTACTCAGCAAATCGATTCAATTACGTTCAGTGAACTGCTGAAATCTCTGTCGGAGTCTCGGGTGTTTCCAGCTCATTTCTTTCCAAATTTTTTAAAAATAAAAACACTTTCAGAAGGAAGACGCGCTTTCAGAGCTCTGGAAGTCGATTGCAAACTAAATTAAATACAAAGCTTTAAGCTAATGTTACTCTAAATTCTGATTAAACAGTTAGTGATGAGCTCCTTTGCTATGCTCAGTTTCTACAGCTAGCTAGCTGGAAATGCTAACAATCGTAGCCCTAAACACATTGTTTAAGCTACTACTTACACTTTGGAGGAACAGGCAGGTAGGTAATGTTACAGAGGACACGGCCTCTGGCTTCTTCCAAAACACCCCCGAATGTACTAGCTTACACCATAAAAAATGCACCTTTTTTGGACCCTTCCTGCTTAATAAGCATCTGTTTTAAAAAGGGCCCAAGAGCCCGCTCCATGAAACCACACAATATCCACCATCATCCACCTTTAGCCAAATTTTAACCCCTACAAAAGACCTGTTTTAATCACTCACTCTGTCAACATCCTTGTCACGCAAGCAGCTCTACTGTGAGACTCTACCCAAGAGACAGACGCTGCTCTTAACCTTATTTTCATAATTGAATTACAGCTGCCCCCTGTCACAGGATAAGCGCGGGCTTATCCCGATTTCTCATGTTAAGTGATATAATGATTTACATCAGCAAACCATCAATGTGTTACAGCATGTTATAATGAAAGTATGTGTAGGAAAACCTAACAGAAAAAACTTTGCATCTGTTGGACTGAAGACAAAAGTTTACTGTCAAGCTGGAGAAGTGCTCCTCTGAGCATTCGTGATGCACAAACAGTGTCTATGAGGAAGGGAGAAGAAACAAATCTTGTCTGAAAAGTCAATGACGTTTGTGTGGATTTTAGAAAAGGAAGTGATGCGCTTTGCCATCTCTGAAGCATGAGGTGAGAATCGTCCTCATTGGAGATGTGCGCAGAGAAATAATTAAACGATGAGTAAGAACATCATGAAGACAAATATGACAAAAGCTCATCTACTTTTTCGAGAGCAATCAAGTGTTCAGAAGCAAACTTGACTTCATGATGCATAAAGACTGTGCTAAGCTTGAGCTTCTTAGATGCTGTACTTGACTGTTCGCCCTGACCTAAAGAAAACGTGGTGGGGACGACACACTCCCGTAGGGCTTAAATCTGGGACTCTCCATCAGTCGCTCTTAGAAGCAAAGAAGCTTCTCGGATGAAACGTCTTCAAGAAACTTTCCTTTCCAAGCTCCTTAGGATACGGCAGTGTTGCAATATTCTGTCTGGTGATATTGTATTGATTAAGAAGCTTTAAATATTGATATTAATTAAAATACTATGGAAATACTATGAACAAGAGGCCTCACATGCCATCATCCTGAGACAATTGTTAAGCTGAGCAAACTCAGTGAAAAACCAAAAACTGGACACACTCAGCTTGACAAAGCTACCTCTCAATTCAACGTGGGCTAATGGTTCAGTCACGCAAACAAACACAGGAGGGCAACTGGCTTGCATCTACAACCTTTCTGCAAACAATCACAGTTTGACCCTCCAAAAGTTGATTGTGTTCATCTGGACGTCGCGTTTCTCACACTGAAAACGCGACGTCCAGATGAACAGAATCAAGTTTGACAGTTTGACTCAGTCTGTCAACAATCACTCTCAGGGAGATTGAAATTATTGCTGAGGAGGAAAAGAATCCTCCTCAGTCCCCATGATCCCTTTTCACACTGCTGCACCTATACAGATTGTTGGGTGGGGCAGAAACCGGGGATTGTTCACTAACACATGCACAGCAAATTAAAGTCCACATGGAAAAGTACCAGTGGATCACCAAACGTCTAAAACACACCCAGACCTATGGATGTCTATCCCAAACATCACAGCTCTCAGAGTCTGGCACTCCTGATGGACAGAATAACACAGAAGCTCGTATCCATGCTGCGGTTGAATATTTCTGAAAATATGAAGCAAAACTCTACAGAGATGGTAAATGGCCTGTATTTGTATAGCTTTACTAGTCCCTAAGGACCCAAAGCGCTTTACACTACATTCAGTCACACACACATTCACACACTGGTGATGGCAGCTGCAGTGTAGCCACAGCCACCCTGGGGCGCACTGACAGAGGCGAGGCTGCCGGACACTGGCGCCACCGGGCCCTCTGACCACCACCAGTAGGCAACGGGTGAAGTGTCTCGCCCAAGGACACAACGACCGAGACTGAGCCTTATATAGAATATAGTTCTTATATAGTTATATACTGTGTATTGTGTATTTTGTTGTACAGTTATTTTATTTTCAACTTTAATTTATATATTTTATCTTATTCTTTCCCAGTTAAATTTACCCTTCATTCTAATTTGTGTTGTACAGTTATTTCATTTTTTAACCTTAATTTTTTATATTTTATTCCTTCCTAGTTAAATTTACCCTTTTTAATTTTTCATATTTATTTCCTATCTTATTCAGAGCCTTTTCCTTTAGGTCACGAGCAGTTGTCTAAGCATTTCACTGCATATCGTACTGTGTATGACTGTGTACGTGACAAATAAAATTTGAATTTGAATTTGAACCGGCAACCTTCCGATTACAAGACGAACTGCCAACTCTTGAGCCACGATCGCCCCCAGTTTAAATGTTAATGATCTAACACACAGAACCACAAACAAAATATTTTCACTTTATAAGCATATCAGTGAGCCCGATGGCACACGGTTGGATGGGGTTATAGTTAATTGCAGAGAAAAGTGGTTTTCCTGGAATTTGTAGCTGCGAGGATGATAGCGTTTTCTATGAAGAGCATCTTATGTCTAATACCTCAATTGGCTCAAGGAGCTTGGTTGGTGCTTCGATTCTGACCTTAGACCATCTGAACTGACCACAATCCACTTAAATCACTCCAAGATAAACCCTCTTAGGTCAGTCCCCATGATCCCTTTTCACACTGCTGAACCTATACAGATTGTTGGGTGGGGCAGAAACCGGGGATTGTTCACTAACACATGCACGGCGAATTAAAGTCCACATGGAAAAGTACCAGTGGATTCACCAAACGTCCATATAAGTTATTAGTGTATTAGGAGCCGCAGGGACACCGGCAACCAAAGCAGTGAATGTTGTCTCTGGTTGATGCAAAGTAATAATAACAATAATCATTATTAATATTATTCAATAAGACCACTGGACTAACGTTCACACAGTTTCCGGGACAACAGCAAGATATTAAACTATTACTAATAACAATGTAACTATTTGTGTTGTATGATTCATTCATTTATCATTTGCATGACTTTGAGCCAGCTCTACGTGTATGTTAGAAAGCAGATATGGCTTCAGCTCCCTTTGATGTTAACGCATCACACATGACAAAACATTATGTATACGCAACAAATCTGATGCCCCCAGAAATGTTTGTAGCGCGACTGTTAATACACGTGTCTCATTTTTGATGTGCATTCCAGCAAATTATATTCTGAAAGGAAGCAATGATGACACCGGAGCTTTAATCTTTATGTTGAGGGTTCAGGAAAAAGTTGATTCTGTTCATCTGGATGTAGCGTATTCAGTGGGAGAAACTTCATCATTTATCCAGCTTTTTTGTGATTTGGATGATTTGTCATGTGTCAAGACATTTAATTTGAGTTTTAGAAATTCTTAATGAAGCTGGAAAATTCAAATACAATACAAATACAAACAACATTTAGACTACAGACAAAAAGGCCCTGCAAACAGAAATATGAGGGCGTTACAGCTAATTTGCCCAATATGAGATGGTTACGTTTTAATTGGAGGACTGCAGCCTGTACATAAGTGTGCATACTGTGCAAAGCTGAAAGTCAATGCTTCAAGCTCTCATGTGAGGTCAGAGAGATAGGGACAAAAATGTGGGACTGCATGGTATTGTGCGCCTAACTTTCCCTATCCTGGAACAGCTGAAGCCAACAGCTGAGTCCCTATCAATTCTGCTTCAGCAGATTAGCTGTTGGCTAAGTGTTACTAGAACGTGCACCTTAGAAAGCTTTAGGTTCTCTGAGAAAAACGTATCAGCTCACCCAGCGACATATGGACACCTGGATGAAAGCTCAGTCACACCTAAACACACACGAGCAGAAAAACATGTGATGCTCGTGAAAAAACCTTTCAATTATGTTTAAATCATTCTCAGCAGAGGAAGCACATTTCAACATTTGCTT